TTTTGACCATCCAGCCAATTCCTTATCCGCTGAACAGTCCACCCATCAAACCTGTATCTCTCCAACTTAGAGAGAAGGATGTTGTGGGGGACCATGTCAAAGGCCTTGCAGAAGTCTGTGTAGATGACATCCATAGCTCTTCCATTGTCTGCTGATGCAGTCGCTCTGTTGTAGAAAGCCACTAGGTTGGTCAGGCAGGACTTGCCCCTAGTAAAGCCATACTGACTGTCTTGAATCACCTCCCTGTTCTCCATGTGCCTTAGCAGATCTTCTAGGAGGATCTGTTCCATGATCTTCCCAGGCACAGAGATGAGGCTGACAGGTCAGTAGTTCCCAGGGTCCTCCTTTCTACCCTTTTTAAATATAGGTGCAATATTTCCGTTCTTCTAGCCACCTGGGACTTCACCTGACTGCCATGACTTCTCAGATATCATGGTGAGTGGCTTGGCAACTGCATCAGCCAATTCCTTCAGGACTCTGCGATGCGTCTCATCAGATCCCATGGTCTTGTGCATGTTCAGGTTCCTCAGATGGCCACGAACCTTGTCTTCACTTATGGTGGGAGGGACTTTGTCTCCCTGGTCCCTGTCTTGTGGGCCATGAACTTGAGAGCTGTGAGGAGAGAGGTGCCAGTGAAAACCGAGGCAAAAAAGTTGTTGAGAATCTCGTCCTTCTCCTCATGTGTTGTTAGTAATTCACCATTGCTGCTCATCACGAGGGGGTACACTTTCTTTGACCTTCCTTTTCCTGGTTTACATACCTGTAGAAGCCCTTCTTGTTTTTCTTTGCATCCCTTGCCAAGTTTAGCTCCAGCCACGCCTTGGCCTTCCTGATCTTGTCCCTACACAACCAGGCAATGTCCCTGTACTCTTCCCAGCATACCTGTCCCTGTTTCCACTGCCTGTGCCATTCCATCTTGCCTTTTAGTTTGACCAGCAGGTCTCAATTCAGCCTTGCTGGTCTCTTGCCCTCCTTGCCTGACTTCTTACGTCTGGGGATTGAGAGCTCTTGCACTCTATGGAAAGCATCCTTAAAGATCTGCCAGCTCTGCTCTGCTCCCTTGTCCCTGAGTGCCATTTCCTAGGGGCTTCTATTGACTAGCTCCTTGAAGAGCTGTAAGTTTGCTTTCCTAAAATTTAAGGTCCTGACTATGCTTTTCCTCTACCTCGTACCTCTTAGGACAGTGCACAGCCCAGGCTGCCTCCAATCTTGACATCCCTGATGAGTTCACTTGCATTTGTGATCATCAGGTCCAATGTTGCATCCCCTCATGTAGGGCTGTCTATTTCTTGCCTTAAGAAGTTGTCATCTGGGCACTCCAGGAGTCTCCTGGATTGCCTGCAGCTTGCCATGCCACTTTTCCAATAGATGTCGGGGTAGTTGAAATCCCCCAGTAGGAGAGCCTGTGTGCGCGATGTCTCCTGGAGCTGGAGTAAGAAGGTTTCATCAACAGCTTCCCCTTGATCGCGTGGCCTATGGTAGACACCAACTACAAGGCTCCTTTTGTTGTCTCGATCCCTAATTCTTCCCCATAAGCTTTCAGCCTTTTCATGGCTCTTTGTTAAGGACAGCTCTTCACACTCCATCCATTTCTCAACATAGAGGACAACACCTCCACCCCTCCTTCTGGTCCTGTCACTTCTCAACAGTCATAGGATTCATCCCACCAAGTTTCAGTAATGGCCACTACGTCGTAGCTTTCCTGTAGCACAGTAGCTTCCACTTCCTCCTGTTTGTTGCCCATGCTACGTGCATTGGTGTAGAGGCACTTCAGCTGGACTGCCAGCTGCGTCACCTTCTTAGAGGGACACTCCTTTATTCCCCCAAGGTGTTTTATGGGTACTACCCTGTCAGCTCCTATTTCCTCAGGAGCCCCTGGCTCATCTCTGTAAGACTTTGCCTGTGCTGCAGTGTCTACATCATGCCTCAGCGCAGCAGGTTGAAGGCCCTTACTGTCATGCCATCCCTTCAACCCTAGTGCGTCATCCTGCTGCTTATCACAGATAATACTGATATTATTATCCCACTCCCCCTTCACATCTAGTTTAAAGCCCTGTCAATCAGCCCCACAATGTCTTGGGCAAAGACCCTCTTCCTCGATTGAGAAAGGTGTCTTCTGTTTGATGTCAGCATTTCTGGTGCTGTGTAGGCCTTCCCATTATCAAAAGACCCAAAATTGTGGTGGTGACACCACCCACGGAGCCAACGTGTTGATAGGTTGGATCCTTCTGTTCCTTCCAATGTCAATGCTTTCAACTTGAAGGAGAGAAGAAAAAATAACCTGCACCCCAGATTCTCTCACTAAGCGTCCCAAGGCCCTGAAGTCTTTCTTGATCGTTCTTCTACTAGTATTTCTGTATCCAGCAATAATTATTTATTCAATTCAGAGCAAATCCAAGCACATTAAATACCTTTTAAGACAAGCGGGTTTTAAGCATATCAGCAGTGAAAGTTTTCAATAATATAGACTCTCCTCGGTCTCAATTATTACAGCATATTTTCTCATGGTTAACCCTCACTCCCGTAAATGCCTTGCCACTTTTAGTAGGGTGATTCTCTGGGAGTGAGAATTGGCAGAATAAGACATAGGACCCATCAACCATGTACATATCAGTGGTCTCACTTAAAGCATTGAAGATAATTGTACACCAAATTTATGTGCTGACATAAAAACACAGATGAGAGGGAGAAATAAGAATGTAAGACAAGGGGCCTTAGTTTTTAAAAACCTCCCATGTCATGCATATAGCAGTATTTAGATTGAAATAGTAAATAATTTTTAAGGACACACGCAATAGAACAATATTTTTTTTCATCCATATATTTATTATATTTATATAATTAATGAAACAAACAACCTTTGTAAACTAACAAGGTGACCATGACTGATATATGAGATAACTTTTTTGTTTTCCCTTTTTTTCTTTCACAGCAACTACAGTGCACTGTTAGGAGTGTGGATCTATGGCTTTTTTGTGGTGATCTTGCTGGTACTGGACCTTTTATATTACTCTTCAATGAACTATGATATTTGCAAATTTTACCTGGCACGGTGGGGAATCCAGGGAAAGTGGATGACACAGGGACAAAGCCGATGGATTAACCCTGCTCAGGATCCAAGCCAAGTACAGACACAGCCTCAGCCAGAGACACAGCCTCAAACTCAGACACAGCCTCAAACATCACAGACAGTACATACTTTAAAAGGAGATGCTTTAAGCCCACCCCTGATGTCTTTTCAGAGTACATCTGCCTGGTAAGTTAAGCTATGTCAGGATATATTTTTTGACTGTGTTGTTTTGTAGTGTGAACAATCACCTGTATTTGGAAGTGCCTGCAAATTCAGGCTGAACTGCACCATTTCTGGCACGTAACTCTTTATATTATGAACTGTCATACAGAATTACTGCTTAGGAATGATTTCTTACTCTGGAACACATTCAGTCTTCTTTTAGTACTGTTCTCAGAGAAATACACACTCCCATTTTTCAGTGCTATATTTTTTTTACTACTCTGTGGTATAAATAAACTACAAATCTTTGTTCTACATCGACCATTATAAAATTGATTTTAATCTAGTGTCAGAGCTAACTGCTCAGTGTATCTATCTATCTGTTGGTCTGGTTTTAAAAGATTGTATGAATAGCAGCACTGAAATAGCTTCAATGCGAGATGTTGCAAATCCACACTATTTGTGGTATGAGAGACAGAAACAACATAAAAACCAGGTTAGGTTTTTTTATATGCATAGCTAGAAAAGCATGGCTTGATCTCATTTGACAGAGTGACACAAGTAGGCTGCTGTAAAGTTAAATGCTACAAAAACAAAACAAAAACCCCCAAAAAGGCCAGACCAAATGGGAGACAGATACTTCAGGAACAGGCAGAACATGCAATATAAATAGAAGAAACTAAATACTGATAGCCATGGGACAAAATGACGTTGAATTATTTTGAACTGTTTTTACCAAAGAAAATAGAAGCAAAGGAAGAGAGTTAAGTAAAATGATACTCTGAATAAGGTGTCAAGAAAGGTGGGGACTTTTTTCTTGGCAAGAGAGCATAAAGATCTGGAAGAGGGCAGAGCGGGTACAGAGTCACCAGCGTATTTTAGAAGTGTTCCAGAAGTCTGAGTGCTGAGTTTTGGCAAAATGAAGCGATCTAAGAATGAGTAGGGTGAAAAAGATGACAGCAGTTCCTGAAGCTGTAGAGCATGTGAAGCCACAATGATCAGATCTTGATCTGAAACCTTTGAGTAGCACTGTGTTGCAGGTGGGGTGTTCGTAGCAGTAGTCCTTTTATTTCATAGTTTGCCCTTTAATTTTAAGTGTAAATCTAGAGCAAATAGGGTTGAAGATTTTTTGTAATAGAAAAGGTAGTGACAGTTTGACCCAAGGACAAGGATCAGTGTAAGAGGAAGTCATTTGGCATGGTAGCTGGTACTGGATGTATCCAGCGCAGATCAGACTTAAGGACCATTCTAGCAGGCCTTGTCCAAACAGAAGAGTCAAACAGTGCTACATAAGATAGAGACTTGCTTGTGCTTGATTGTAAGTGCTCTTCTTTTCACTTCTTCTTCCTCTTCTCTCCTTTTTTCTTCTCCTAATTTCTTCAGCTTTTTTGCACATTGATTTCCCAGTCTTAGGTTATAATTGCCATACAGGTCAAGACCAACATTTGTAGTAAAATAATTGTATTCTAGCTTAATACATGTGTGTGTGTGTGTATAAACATTAAATGGCTACATGAATATATATATATATATATATAAAAATATA